TCATTCATTCATTCATTCATTCATTCATTTATGCATAATGAAAACTGCAGTCATGGATCATTTAGGCCTCCTTAGAACTTCTGGCAGTTAATCTTTCTCACCATAAGGTCAGCAACTAAATAAATACCACTTAGGTTCAGGACTTACGAAAGAAAAAAAAAATCATTCCAGGAAACCAACAATTTTCTTAAATTCGTACATTTTGAATATATACATGAAAAAGAGGTAAATATTCAAAGAATTTATAGTTAGCGATATCTTTTGGTGAGTGTGAACTAGGGTTTGGACTGAAGGAAATGTATTTTACAGATGCTTTCCGCCTATTGCATCTCTTAGGATCCTATTAATTTCCATTTTCTGTTTAAAAAGGAGTTAATTTCTGGTTATTATTGTTCTGGAGGTAAGTTTGAAAATCTGATGATTGTGGAACACTGTTTTGTTTATGTTTGAGAAGGAAAGGGAAATTTGAGCTAAGGTATGCAAACCCCTGTAAGTAGTGTCATCTCTGTTTTGAGGGTGAGTGGGCTCAATGGTTGGATTGTTGCAAACCATTCCCCCTAATGCTATTTTCATGAATTTGTATACAAACAAGACTGCAGAACTGCTTGGGAATTTGCCCTTTTCCAAATTTTATTTTATACTTTTCCAGGCAAAAATGACACACAAGTGGAAGTCTTGGAGAGTGGTGCACAGAAAAATCCATGCGAGTTTCCAAATAAAGCTTTAAAAAGCACATACACATTGATGAGATAAATGTAAGGCTGGAATGAGATATTGAGTAAAATAAAAACTGGCAGATTCATCCATTCCCCAGAAACACAGTGTTCTCAGCTTTTAAGCAGATAAGATTTCAGTGTTGTTTTGCTGGGCATGATTGATATTTTTTGAGTAATATTTTCTGCATTCATTCTTTCTACTAGAGAGCATGTGTTTTCCTAGGTTTTCTGTTGGATTTGGACTAACAGATTTTTTTTTCTTGATTTGTAAAATTTAAAATGGAAAGGTATGATAAAAAAGAAAAGAACATTTAAACAGTTAGGAGAATCATACACCACAGCCTTTGCCAAACTGACACGCTCAAGATGCATCAGACTGTTATTTCCACAATTTCTGCCTAGCATGGTCTATGCTGCCTGGAGTTGATAAGGGCTGTACTCCAGCATTGTGGGAGAGTACCAGGCTGGGAGAAGAATAAATATAGAGAAGCATATTGGCTGTTCAGTATCACCATTAAATCAAAATTGTGGCCCAGCACCCTAATCAGTGTCCCTGGAGCTGGGAGTGGAGAGACGTTCTCTCCCGTTCCGGTCCTCTCTTAGCAAATAAAGGTCAAGCGTGGGACCTCTGCTCTAGTTGGCAGAGAGGCTAAGAATGTTGTGCTCAGGATGGCTCAGATTGTTCTTCATGTTTCAGAAGCTTAAGCTGATCCCTTGGGTCAGGCTGCACAAGTTCCACATTTACATTTAGTTCTTTTGTGCAGCAAAGCCTTGTACACATTTAGCATTAAGTGATTTTATTGAAATTGGTTTTGTTTCATAAGTATAGAAGATGTATATATGGATGTAAGAGCCAGTTTGGTGTAGTGATTAAGGCATCAGGCTAGAAACTGGGAGACTGTGAGTTCTAGACCTGCCTTGGACATGGAACCAGCTAGTTGACTTTAGACCAGTCACTCTCTCTCAGCCCTAGGAATGGCAAAACACTTCCAAAAAGCCTTGGTATGAAAACTGCAGGGACTAGTCCAGGTAGTTGCCAAGCATCAAAAACTGACAAGAAGAAGAGGAAGAGGAAGAGGAGGAGGAGGAGGAGGAGGAGGAGGCAGCTAAACCTACTCTGTGTTCCTTTCCCCTTTACACATTCTCCCAGTCAGATTACTCATACAATACTCATATGCATATGCTATGTAACAAGCCACTCTTTTACATACATATGCATATCCAGCATCCCAGAATCACTGAACCCTCATCTAACATTCCATGGCAACCTCTCTGTCGCCTCACAAGGATACCTTCATATGATCCCCAAGCCATATTTGAGGCGGCCTTAAGTCATTCTTAGCTGAACAGTGTTAGTGTAATGTTTTCCTCCTTATCTTGACATACGTTTTGCTGACACTGTCTTCTAACTATTCTGTTGGTAGTATGGTCAAGTGGAATTTGGGGGAATGGGATCAGATTGGCAGCTCTTGGCAACTTTAGGCTGGTATGGGCACAGCCCTTCTCCTCCAGTCCATAGGGACTCTCTTCCAGGGCCATTTTGCAGCGAGAGAGTCTAGTTATTTCAGACTAGGTTCCTCATGTATCTGCCAGGTCTCCAAGTTGACCCAAGTTGACTTGAAAACTTGGATCAGTCTGACACACAGCTGTAGTTGCAGTGATGGGCTGCAAGTTGACTTAGGAAACAGACACAATTCTCTTTCGACTGTGTCATAAGGCAACTCTCCCATCCCTGTCATCTTGTTGTTTAGGCTGCATTTGAATATGGGTTCACTGCTCTTTTGGAATAGCATTAAATCTCTGTCCCAAAGGACTCTAACCATCAATTAATTATCAGCTGATAATTGGAGTGCCTTTGAACAAGCATGCAAAATACTTGTGCTAACCAGAGTGAGCTTTGTCATATGGTTAAACCTACCACTGTAACCATCTGCCAAATTTGCCTCCTCCCTGGTCTCAGCCCCATTCCATCTTAAGGAGGATTGGGGAATATTTTCCCACCAATTGAGAACAATTGTTGGGAAGGAAGGGAAACAAATCAAGGGGAATCTACCTGTCCCCGTACACCATAAATAAGGACAGCATCGTTTGCCAGCATCATATTCCTCAACAGGATTGCCAGGGGGACAGCAAATTTGATGTTGGGATAGGTTTGTGGCAGTGCAAGGATTGCAAGGAAGAGCCCTGTTACTATACTTGAGCAGAACATTGCAGTAAGAGTATCTTTCTTCCCTCAAATGCTTGTCTCAGGGGTAAATCAGCCATGCAATCATTGTTCTGCACATATACATATTCTGTACTTCACTGACGCCTTTTTGTCTTTAGAAGAGAGTAGCACATGCAGAAGAGTAAAAGTGGACAGGGGGGACTTAAACTCACTTTCAGCAACAGTTCTAATGTGCTGTCAGTAGGTAGTTGCATGCCAGAAGATGGTGAAACAACGTAATGGATAAAAGCAAGGGTTATGATCTTCTCATACTTCTCTGCCTTGAAATCTGCCCTTCCTCTCCTCCCCAGGGTTCACAGCAGCAACAATGTCTGGATTGAGAATCTTAAAAATCTAGGGCTGTTGTATTTGAAAAATGGAAACGCACAGGTTTTCCCCTTCAGGTTCCAGTTAAAGAGCACCTGTAAGACTCTCTGGGCTTCAGAGAGAGCTGCCACATGGGTACAGTTCCAATCAAGGCTGAGGAAGATACGAGGAATAGTCTATGCGCACATGCTATTTGGATCAGAGTAAATGTCTTGGATGGAAACTCCTGCTGAGCTTCATGAGGATGCCAGGAAATGTTTGTTTGCTGTCCACAGTCATATCAGCTCTTAGTTTTCTGGCTACCCAGTATTTTGCAAAGTGATTCACTGTTCTTAGAAAGGTTGATAAACTATGTTTGAGTTGATTCCATTCCTACTGCATTTATGGATAGCTTTAAATGCCAAGGCAGAATCCGTGGTGGTATCTGTAAATTTAGCTTGATCAAGCCATGAAAACTTTGGCAGTTAGGAACTTTTTGGACTGAGCATATAAATGGCAGTAGAAACATACATGCAGGTATTTGAAGAATCAGATCCAATTTCAGAATATGTGTGTGTGTGTGTGTGTGTGTGAGAGAGAGAGAGAGAGAGAGAGAGAGAGAGAGAGAGAGAGACATAGAGACCCACAGAGAGAGATGTAGAATAGTATATCCAATTAACAAGTTTCAGGATCATGAAAAAAGAGAAAATTAGATAATAAAATAGTTTTAATAATGCAACTGTTGATCAGTTGTTGGGAAGATATGGGATCTGTGTGTAGGATGATCCTTGGTGAGATCTGCTAGTCTAGGGCATACTTATTATGGAATAATGGGATGGAACTGGGATTTTGTTTGATAGCTTTGTTCTCTGGATGCAATGTTAACTAAATCAAGATTTCATTATGCCAAACTGGACTTACATTGTAACTTCACTTCGGCAAATTTGCAGATTCTTTCTGCATCATGCACATTGAGTACTGTACTACTCCTTTATTTGGATGCTGTGTTTGTCCAGAATCCAGAAAATAAAGCTGATTTGGGGCCAAAATAATTGCTTGGCTTCCTACCATCTACCTGGGATCCTAATTCCCAATCAGCTCCTCTCTTGTTTTCATTATCTTTCCTGATAATAAATGTGTCATACCAGAGTATCAAGATCTACAATAGGAGTGGGTTATCTGTAGCCCATGAGCCAGATATGGCCCCCAAGTCCTATTTCAATAGCTTCCAGAGCTCCCAAAATAAGAAGCAACACAAGCCTCCAATAAGATTAACACCTGTGGAGTCCTTGGTGCTCTCTGAGCTTGGTTGTTTGTTTGCAGATGTTTCATTACCCAACAAGGTAACATCATCGGTGCTACTGAATGTGGGGTTTGCTCCCTGTTTATATACAATAGCTTGCCCTGCCAGTGTTGGTGGGGGTGTGGTTTTCTCCTTGGTAGTTGTTTGCTCCCTGTTTATATACAATAGCTTGCCCTGCCAGTGTTGGTGGGGGTGTGGTTTTCTCCTTGGTAGTTCCTTGATTAGGGTATTGTTTTCTGCTCAGTTTTCTGAATTATTTGCTCTGATTTGGATATAGGGATTGGGAGTGTGCTGGGTGCGAACAAAACTAGAAATGACCCACAGGAATTTTCCAACATGAATTTGGTATACTTTTGGAAAATTGGCAGTCAGCTTTTCTTATATCATTTAGTTACACATGTATAATTAACATAGTGATTGGGTTACTGGGATACTAAAGAATATTAGCTCAATTTTTTTAAAATTACAGGTTCAAGAAGAGAGCGTTGTGGGTATCGTATCATCCGTCGTCATCGTAATCCAGAAGATATGGTGCATTGTGTAGGCAAAGTGAAAAAGAATAATGACAGTATAATCCAAGTGAAAGAGGTCCTGGGCAATGCGCTAACCCCAGAACAGTTTGTCTCCATATTAATTGATGCTGAACCGCCAAATGTGTTGGTGAGTCGCCCCAACAAGCCATTTACAGAAGCTTCCATGATGATGTCCTTGACGAAACTTGCAGACAAAGAATTGGTCCATATGATTGGTTGGGCCAAAAAGATCCCCGGTAAGGAATTTGAAAACTCCTGTGTTTCGAGTGGAGCTTGTGCTAAATAATATTTAAAATATATTTTTAACAAACGTTAGCTCCTAGAACAGTAAAAGCATACCAATAATTGCATTGTTATTTGGTAATACAACCTGGGTGAGGTCATTGTGTGGAGCAAGAGTAGAATCATAGAATGTAAGGCTTCACAGGTATTATAGAGACCATCTATAGCCCAGTGCAGAAATATACTACTACAGTGTTCCTGACAAAAGTATCCAGCGTATTTAAACATCTCCAGCAAGGAAAGGCCACCACCTCCCAAGACAGGCTGTTCCATTGTTGAGTCATTCTTACTTTTAGGATTTTTTTCCTGATGTTCAACCAAAATTTTGTTCCTTGTTATTTAAACCCACTGTTTCTTGCCTTGCCCTGTCTTCTGGAACAATCTGAACAATTTTGCACCATCTTCTACATGAAACACTTCGAATATTTGAAGAAATTATCATGTCTCACCACAGTCTCTGCTCCAGGGTTACCATATTCAACATCTCCAAACATCCCCAGGCTTTTCTTTCTAGAACCCTTATCATCTTGGTTGCTCTCTTCTGGGCGTGATGTAGTTTGCCACTATCCTTCCTAAAATGTGCCCAGAATTGAGTGCAATATTCTAGGTGCAACCTAACTAATGCAGAATAGAGAGGAATGAGGACTACTCTTGATTTGGCATTAAAGTTGTGTTGATGCAGCCTAGGACTGCATTTGCATTTTTTGAAGCTGCATTATACTGTTGGTTATATTTAACTTGTGATCCACCCAGATCATTTTTGCACTACTCCCTTCTATATTCATGCTTTTGATTTTTTTCAATGCAAATAGAGGATTTTTCATTTACCTCTATGGAAATTAATCTTGCTGGGTTTTGCCCAAAGTATCAGTTTGTCAAGATCCTCCTGAATTTTGGTTCTGTTCTCTAAAGGGTTTTGCTATCCCCACTATCTTTGTGTCATCTACAGGTTTGATAATCATATTTTCTAACTTCTCCTCCAAATAATTTATAAATATATAAAATTATGCAGGACCTCGAATGGAATCCTTTAGTCCTCCACTCAATAGTTCCCTTCAATTGACACTGAACCATTGATATATATTTGTTGGATATTATTGTTCAACCAGTTCTTTAGTCATCTAGTAGTACATAGTCCATCCAGATTTTGCTTTTTGCTATACTGGAATCTCACAGAAGACTTTACTGAATGTTCTGCTGAAATCACGGTATACTATGTCCACTGCATTCCTACGGTCACTATCAAAAAAGGAGATCAGGTTGGTTTGGCATGCTTTATTGATAAAGCCATTCTGGCTCATGCCAAGCAATACATTCTGTTCTAAATGATCACAAACTGACCATTTAGTCATTTGGCCCAGAATTTTGTCCAGGATTAATGTCAAGTTGATTGACTTGTAGATACCAGCATCCTCTTTTTTTTCTGTTTTGAAGATAGGAACTTTTACATTTCTCCAGTCCTCTGGCCCTTCTCCATGATTTCTCAAAGGGGATAGAAAGGAGGATCTGAGATGACATCCACAAAATATTTCAAGACTCTCAGACATAACTGACATGATTGTGGAGACTTAGACTCATTCATCGTAGCCAAGTGCTCCCTCACCATATCTTCCTTTACTTTGGGTTGCCAATTCCTTCTTTTGTAGAAGGTTCTGCTTAGGTTAATTTGAACATAGTAGCTCTTGGGGAGAAGACCAAAGCAAAGAGGGAATTGAGGAGCTCTGCCCTCTCTCCATCACCTGTTACTACGCTACCATACTCTCCTAGCAACAGGCTCACCCTTTTCTTTTTCTTCATTTTATTATTGACATAGCCAAAAAAACCCCCCTTTTCATTGCTTTTAGCTGCCCTTCTAGGTCTAAATATCTTTTGTCCTTTAGCCTTTTGGTCTTTCTTTCAGCAGATATTATGTACTTGCTGGAACACTTGTTTGGTGATCCATTTTATATGTAGGTCCCTTTTAACTCATATTTCAATTAGAACTCTTTTAACTCAATTAAAAAAATTTAGAATTAGAATGTTAACTCAGGAAAAAAGTGAGCTTTTTTTTATAGTCATAGAGTAAAAGATAACTTTGTAATCATATTTCTATTTGCTGCAAAGGAAATTAGAAGCTTCTTCTTTCTATTCGTTTTTATCTTTTCTTTCTGTACTTTTGTCTTTTTTGCTTTCTCTTTTCCTTTCTTTGTTTTTCTTTATTCTGAATTAGTTTGTGTTAGTTTTTATGTTCTTTTAAAAACTTTATATATATATATATATGTGTGTATATATATATACACACACACACACATACACACACACACACACACTCTGCATCCATGATGACTCCCTAAGCTCTCCCCAGTTTTTTTTCTCATTGAAATGGTGTGTCTTCCAGTGTCTTCTTTTTTAGAAGTTCCCTGTCCTCTGTGCTCCAGGATTTCTTTCCATGGCATCCTACCTAGTACATCTCTAAGCTTTTTCAATTTCGATCTCCTGAAATCTAGCGTGCATGTGTAATGATGCTTTAATTTCACTCTCTACCATATTTTGAACTCTGAGATCCTTTGATTACTTCCTCCCAAGTTCCCAAAGCTTGTACCTCTTCAGTCAGCTTTTCCCTCTCCTTCTAGGAGAGCTGATCCCCTTGTCCCATCTTCAGCCTTCTGGAAAATGGAATAGTTTTTAGTCTATAGGTTGATTATGTGGCATCAGATCGTTTTTTACTCTTAGCAACCACATGGGTAGATTTTCTCCATGATGATCTATCTCTCACCTGGTCTTTCAGGTCTGTAGAAGTTTCCTACAATATCTACAAAGATATTCCTATAATATCTTTGTTGTTTCCACTGCCTTGTATTCTTACCCGAATGCTGTCAACAGAACTATCATGCTCAGATTTTTAGTTCTCAATACATGTTGATACTTCCTTCAATAAAGCAGTTTGGGGAAGTACCTAAAAACAGTTTCAGCCATCCCTCATTGTTTTTTACTCAGAGTTCCTTTTGTCTTGCCTATTCCTTTTGAATACATTTGAATCTTCAATTCTTGAATTTTGCTCATGGGTTTTCTCCTACCAGATTTCAACCTTCTGAAATACTTTGACTTCCTGCATTGAGGCTTTTTCATTCTTCTTATTTGTTCCTTATACTGTGTGCAGTCTTTGGGTCACATAACCTGATCTACCTGTTCACTTCAAGTATTTTCCTCTCTTTTCCTGGGTCCTGTCTGTTGACAGGTAGGAGTGGAGAAGCACTACCTGTGCTCCCAGTGCTTTTCACCTTCTTGACTAGTGCTTCAAAGGCCTGTGCAATATCTTCAGGCTTGTGTTGGCTATGCCATTTGGTCCCACAGGGATCAGTAAGAAGTGGCCTTAAGGAGTCTTGGGAGCCTTTCCATCACATCAAGAATGTGTGCCCCAGGAAGGTAGCATGCTTCTCTTGATAGGCTGTCCAGCTAACAAATTGCTGCTTCAATTCCACTCAGTAGGGAGTCTCCAATTCTTGTCACCCATCTCTTCTTCACTTCAGGGCAGAGATAGGAATCCTTCCCTTGTAGAGCCTCTAGAGTCCTGTTCCTCAGTCCCTGAGGCTTATGGGGGCTGCTTGTCATCCAGAGGTCTGGAAACATCATCAGCACTGAAGCTCTGGAATCTGTTCTGAAGCTTCAGAGTAGCACAACTCTTCTTGATAGACTTGGTTCTTTGTGTTCCAAGTAGGCAACTTGGGGTCCCCTGGGTGTTTTGGGCTTTAGTACCCCACTTAGAACTCAGTTCCCTGTTTGGGGAAAGTTTTTACTCATTTGTATTAAAATCTTTGATTTCTCTATTGCTGTCTTTAGATAGCTGTGACTTCTCAGTGTGAGTCAAGAAATGACCTATCCAGATAACACGTGACTGTTTCTATCATTTCTATCTATGTGACTCTTCCTCCTTCTTGTT